AAAAGCATATTTTATCTCTTTGGGTCTTGTTTTTTGTTTAGATCATTATAGGCAGCATCAGTATTAAAGTACCAGTGTAAAGTACGATTTCAAGGCAACTTCATTAAATTTGTTTGTATTCAAAACTCAAACTTTTTCTTTATAGAATCTTTAAACTTTAAGTTTAAGACCAAGTGAAAAAATAATAAATAAGCTAAGAAGCTATTTAATTTTTTTATTTTAATTTTTCACTTAAACAATAAAAAAATGGGTTCACAGAAATAAATACTTTTTTAATTACAGTAGTTATAAAATAAAATATTTAATCTTAAGAAAAAAGTGAATAATTTCAACCAAAAAGATTTTGTAGTTTACCTAAAAAACATATATAAAAAAAGATTTAGTAGAACACAGTTGGCCTTAATTATGACTTTTTATTTCTATTTTCTATTTTTGCCAATAAAATCCCTCCTAACCTGTTACACACTGAACCAATTTCTGACATTCCTGTGCCAACTGTACAGAATCTGACATACTTATATGGACACATTTTGGGTTTTGGCACCAAAACAACAGTATTAAAGAAGATTCAATACCAAAGCTCTTATTTCCCAGACAAAAGACAGAGAAAAAGAGAACATAACTTAATATAAAAATGTGAAATTATAGTGCTTTATTTACTATTAAACTGTCCTTTGGTTATAAAAAAGTCAAAATGAAACAGAGGAAACAGTTGAGAGTAAGAGGGGAATCTTTCCTTTATATAAACAATACAAGACCTTGTTCCAGCTTACAGGTCAGCGAGCTGGGACACCACAATGACCAGGCCCTGTCAACACACCCGCCGCGCGCGTCAACTGTATATCCTTGCTCCCAAATGTTTGTGGTTTGGCTTTCTCTTGTTCCTGCCAGAAGGCCACAACCAAGGAAATGGATTTAGAATGCTCACACACAAGAAAAGGGGAAATTCTGCTTGGCTATATAGGCCCACAAATAAAGCCCAAAATTTTTAAAATAGTCCTCTCCAGTGGCTCTCTCTCACTCCTGTGTCGCTTTCCTCAGCTAATAATATAGAGCACATACGAATTAAATCCCTTTAATAGACTGGGTGCACTAGGTTTCCATGAGCCTCGCACTATTTTAATGAATGTTTAAAGAAGGAGTTAGAACAATTTGAGGAAAATAAAGTCTTACCCTCTCTCCCCTTTCGACTGGGTTTCTTTTTTTTAAAAAACATCAGTTGAGAAAGACACAATTTTAAGTAAAACTTGGACAGTTGTTGTATAAACATTTAGTAAAGATATATTAAGAATATATCACCTGTTTACCTTTGGATTTTTACCCAAATAATTGAAAAGTAAATTGTGGATTTAACAATTCCAATTTCAATATAAATTTATAGGCGCATATGTAGTCATTCGAGCTATGGTTGTGGCCTGCCACCGGATCAGATTACATTAAAGTAACAACAAAAGTTTGGATTTTCCTGCCAGTGCACTGTAACTAATAGTGCTTCCTGGTTGACTTTGTCTTCATTCACTCTCTCTATCTCTTCCTCCTTCTCACTCTGTCTTTTTGTCACTGTCTCTCAGTCTGTCTCCTGTGTCCCTGTAGGCATTGAGACCTTTTCCCTCTCCTGTGTTGCGACTTTTTCTCCAAATGTTTTCTCCTTCCTGCAATCTTTGCAGAAAATTGCATCAATGTCAAGAGTTGCAGCATTGCTCTAACTGTTTCAGCATGTGGACAACTCAAGACCCGACTATACACAACACACATGAAGCTCTGCAGGGATTTCAAACATAGATTTATACTGTCACACTTAATGATGGCTCTCTGCTTGATAGATATCATTAGAAACATCATTTCAGTCTGTTTTTTATGGTGTTTATTAAAGTGAATTACATTGGGTCAATGACTTGAAGTCTTGTTGGATTTTAATGTTGACTCAGTTCCAACATTGCTTTATTTGAGAAGCTAGGTAAATTCTTTAACCCACAGCGATCTGGCTTAAATACTAGAGTCCTAGAACATTTAGTGACATTGAGGACCAGATAGGACAGGTTTGCTAGTTTCAGCACCTGTGAATACTGTCTGAAACATGCAGAAGCTCTTGGTTGATTTAAATGTTCCACATGCAAGATTCTGAAACATTTTATGCATTTTTTAAATACACTACTCACAATAAGTTAGGGATATTGTTATTTAGTGAAAGTGCTTTTCCTTATTTTGTCTGAAATTTTTAATGGGAAATAAAGTAAAAAAGTTTCCCCTTTGCATATTACTAATAATGAATGAGAAGAAACATTCAGGTGTTTCGTGTTTCATGAGGGTGTTTCCACCATTTGCCGCAATGACAGCTTGACAGCGACGTCTCATGCTCCTCACTAGCCTCATGATGTTGTTCTGAGGCAATGCGTTCCACTCTTCCACAAGTGTACACGCAGTTCTGCCAGGTGCACGTGGGTGGGGTAACGATCCATCCAGTCTGCTTCAGGCTGGTTCCCAGAGCGTGCTCTATTGGGGGTTCAGGTCAGGGGACATTGGGGCCCAATACCATATGAGGCACTCCAACTCCCTGAAGTCGAGCTGTGCAATTCTGGCCAATGTTGTGGGAGCATTATCATCCATGAACAGAAAGGGTTGGGGTGTGCTGGCGGAATTGGGGATGATGATGGGTTCTTATGATGGTCTCTGGAGGTAAGAACATTGCAGTGCAACTGGAGCCATCTACAATAACCAAATCTGTTTTGCGCTACTGGTGATGCCTGCCCAGACTGTTGACACTCCTCCACCAAAGCGACCCTGGGGACCATGTTGACCTCGGTTCGTATCGCTTCACCTACGCCTTCTCCAGCAACGCTGACGACCATTCATTTCTGGGCAAGGTGACCGACACTCATCAGTGAACAGGACGGTAGACCACTGCTGCATTGTTCCGGGTCACATGGTCTTGTGCCCCACTGCAAACGTTCACGGCGTGTTTTGGTGTCAGTTTGGGAGTCACCTGCAACGGGTCGTCTGGCATTCAAGCCAAAGCGTTGGAGTTCGGGTTGCAAATGGTTTGTCTGGAAACCCTAGTACCCCTCCACATCTCGTAAACAGGCTGCAGCTGTGGTGGGGCAGTTTGCATGACGATGTCTGAGTGCATAGGTCCTTAGGTACTGGTCATCGTTGCGGTCTGTCACTCGTGGGGCTCCACTCCTGGGTCTGTCACGAACTCTGCCAGTAGTTCTGTGTCTTGATGCAAGTCTGCTGATGACACTTTGAGACACACCAAGTTCAGTTCGAGAGCAACATCTGACTGCTGCCACCGACGTGC